AAATCATATGACAATGTTCATTGGTTTTATTATGATGTAAAATCATGAAGCTGTTGCACCATGACACAATAAAATATTTATTTGTTTTTTGAGAAACTTGTCCTAATAATTTTCAAAAATCGCTATTTTAGCACAATTCCGTAAAACACTTGTTAAAGAAAAACTGCTTATTTTTGCACTTTTTAAAACCTGGATTTTTTAAATAATTAAGGACAAGAAAGAGTATCCCATCATTCCAGGTTTAAGCCCAGGGCCTTCTATATGTAAAATCAGGGAAAGTAAGGGATGGGCATATACCCGAGGACCACGTCAGGAAAGATTTTTTTATGAGGGGTTAACCATGTTACCACCCTCTCATCCAAATTACATCTTTCGTTCACCATGCAGTCTGTTTGTAGGAAAACAAATTGTAAAATGAGTTTCTTCTTTATTGTTGTCCACATGACTTGTACAATAAAGAAACAAACATGTTCACAAATATATGCATGTTTTACTACAAAACGATTTACATACCGTCTGAATTTATGGGGTAAAAATAATTGGAGTCTGTGGAAAAACAATGAAGGCGAAATCTTTATCATTATCTTTTTAGCTTCGCTGTTGACAAAGTCGACACAGCGGAGCTGTTCATATTACTGATTGTCCGTCGTTGTCGTCCGTCATCATCAACTTTACAATTTCAACTTCTTCGAAACCACAAGTTAGAATTTTTTCAAATTTGATATGCAAGTACCTTGGATGTTTTTTTCTCAGATTTGTTCATTTCATGTCAAAATCTCAAATTCTCTAATTTTGATGAATATTTTTGTTATTTTGATATTTTCAACGGCAAGTCCGATTGCTTTGATATTACATATATAGGTACTACATGTAGACCTCTCTCAGATTTGTTCATTTCGTGATGATATCTTTAATTCTCTAATTTTGGTGAATATTTTTGGTAAAAAGTTATATTTTCGACTTCTTGTTAAAAACAGCAAGTCCAATTGCTTTGATATTACATATATAGGTACTACATGTGGACCTCTCTCAGATTTGTCCCATTGCCCTGATACTATACATATTGTTCATTTTCTAATGATATCTTTTGTTCTTTAATTGAAATGTGCATTGCTAACAGCGGAGCTATTTCAGTTGACTGGCTGCTTGTTTGTGGAATGATTTCGATTGTATGTAAACTCTTGATATAAAGCAATTGAAACAATGTCATCTGTCAATCGATCAAAGTTCTGTATCATACTGACGAAATTTTCTGAATATTGATGATGGTATTTTTTTTAACTCAATGTGCAAGTGTATATATATTAGTTAAAAGTGTATGTTATAAAATACAATCAGTTAGCTCTAATTTGGGTGGAGGAGTTCTTTCTAAGCTTTCTTTGATTATTCATTTTTATGGCAATTCCTTACTAATATGTTGCCTGATTCAGTTTGTATACAAGTACTGTACTCGTAGGTACCGTAGAGTGTGATATTTTGTTCAATTGACAGCCATTTTGTTTAAAATCCTAAAATCGCAATCTGTAAATGTGGCTTTTCTCGCAGATAAACAGGGCTGTTGTGTGAGAATCGTGTATAGTGGGTTTTACAGGTGCACATCATTTTAACTACTGTTCATCTTGACTTGCATGATTTTCATACAATGATTCAATATACTGCACTTTTGTTGCTCATTACATTCTCAGTGATTTTAACCAATTACAGTACATTGCTGTGCAATGACTGATTGTATCACAGCATTATTCAGCAAAATGCAGAACGGGGACTGTGCCTTGTTTGAAATTTGATTTCATCTTCATGATTATTCATTACACATTTTCTTGAAGGGGTAATTCATATTAAAAGCAACTTTCAGGGTAGTGTTGCTAAAGATATGACTATTTACAGACTTGACATATGTGTGCATGTATGTGCTATATATGCAGTGAGATACACTAGTAATATGAATGGCAGTGTAAATAAGTAAATATATTTGCCACACCAATAATTGTGGCATTGATACAAGTTTCAAATTATGTTAATTGTTATGTTTATCATTTGATAAATTCAGTTTTAATATTAACACAAAATCGTTATAACTTTTTCAATACTTTGTTGTTTGTGATTGATCGAATGTCTGTCTTTTATACAGGCCAATCAACAAAGGGTAGTTCTGACGTTTCCAGTCAAGTAAAATTACTATTTATTCAACTGAATAGTATCACCTTGCCCTAACAGACTATAGTAATAAATATATAGGCTACATTTTGGACAAGGGAGTATAACCTTAAAAGCTGTAGAGTTTAATACACAGCTTGACATGTGTCTGCCTTGCTTTACATGACCAGATGTACCCGTAAAATTAAGCAAATCTACGCTGATATGTCATGCTTTGTTAGGATATTTAGCACATGACCTCATTTAAATAATGAGAGTTCACTCAGAGTTCAGTTTAAGTAGCAAGCAGTGGAGCAATAAAGTAGGTTGGGACCTAGTTCTAGATAAATCATGCTTTAGTGCTGTTTTTGTCATTTTACTTATTGTCTCACTTTTTTCGTTTTTAACAATGTAGTTTTTAAGGCAGTTTGACTACAATTTAAATTTTGCATTACTAAGCATGTAGCTGCCAATGAATAAAGGAAAAAAAAAATATGACTATTTCATCACTTGTCAATGAGCAAATTTCCATGACTTTTCAAACTTTTGAAAAATTACTCGGCAACCCCAATTTGTTTTGTTTTCAGTATAATGTCACGAACCCGTGATAATGAGAGTATATTAGTCGCGACATGTAATCTACAATTCGGCTCAAACCCTTAACATTTAATACCAAAATTATTGAAAATGAAGTACATGTATGTGTATGTGTGTATTCTGCAATTCATGTGTAACACGAGGAGTCTGATTGAATGAGATTTTCATTAAATATAACAAATTTACAAATTGTGAGGGCTAACCGTATATACATACCGTATTTATCCTGGTAAGCGCCCAGGATTCTGAACATGGAAAATTCCATAAAATATGGTGGGGGGTGGCGTTTGCCCGGACATCCCACTGCAAAGAAAAACGAAACTCTGCGAAAATTTACAATACGTAGATCGAACTGCGGCAGGGAATGGAATATCAAATGAAGACATGCAACGGAAATAAATGAACCATATGCAGCATTAGCAGTGTAGCAAGAAATAATTTATTGCTCAGAATGTGACAAATAAACCAGAAATAATAAAAATCGACAGTTAAAAATCATTTGAATTAGGATTTCCCCACCGACAAACACGCCCATTACGTGTGAACTCTAAATGAATTAACATATCAGGGGTTAAACTGCGTACAATTATTTCCAGTTTTGACAAATACCGGATCAACAGCCATACAAGATCAGTAATAATTTATGCAGTAAAATTTCGAAAGTTCATAGTTTGAAAAAAACACATCTCAGATCTCTATTTGTACGTCCATTGCTATTTTCGTAAAAGTCAAAACCTTCAAAGTCCAAGTCGGCGTCACTGTCGTCATCGAACAAAATCCCTACAGCTTCGTCTTGAAGTTCGTCGATGTCGTCCCACACAATTTAGCACATTTAGTCCAAGGATTTTGATGTCTGTCTGCTTGGCACTTTTAATTCACGTCTAATCAGAATAAAGAGACAAAAAAAAATGGGGTTGCGTCAATGTGGCAAACGACTTGCATGATGCTTTTATTTACCGTCTGGCAATCATCTTTGACCTTTAAGCATGGACTTTACCAATTGGTAAGAATGACATCACTACTACATAGAGGTCAAGTCAACATCGTTTTCTTATCAGACTAAATGCTCATCAGCAGTAGTGAAAGTTACCATTCATCGAGTTCTCGCTATGAATATCGCGATGGGTTGAAATAGGAAGATTTTTTTTTCTACAACGACAGAAGAATAATTTCCATGACAGAAATGCATGTGATGAAAGAAGGCAAAAAAGTTGGCAGTCTTCGGCATGACATTGCAAAATTGCCGGCCCCAGTTATGGATTCGCAAGCTGCTAGCAAATATTTTATTAAGCCAGAACAACACCATTTCAACAACTCTCCCAGGTACGGGTTGCTACAATATTGCACCATTGTTTTCATTGTCGATGATGCTAAGGCTGAACGAGTGCAACACTTGCTTCGTGGCATGAATCGTTTCTAAGGAAACACAAACCAAACAGCCTTTTCAGGGACACGGCATACTTCTAAAAGAGAACTATCTTTTTTGCTTTAATATTCATTTTTCTAGATTTGCTGACTGTTATGATTCTGATGAAAAATCTTGTAAAATAAATGTAAACAGCATGAACACTCTCTCTACCCTCGAGGCAGAATGCGAACAACTTCTTTATTGTATCAAAATGGGGGGTGGGCATTTGCCCGAGCATGGGCGCCTCCCCGGATAAATACGGTATATTTGGTTGTGAACATTGGTCATCCAACATGCGTGACCGCAGATGTCAGACCCAATGTATCAAAATTTCCAATGTCATCATTACATCAACACAGATGTCAGATGCAATGGAACAGCAAACTTGTGTCATCATTAGTCATCATTGCAAAATAACATTGTCTTGAATTTCTTATTTACATTTTTAAAATCTTGTGTTTGATGTTTGTGTCTGTCATTTTACAAAGAAGAAACAATTTACCTTGCGTTTTGATCTCTTGCAGGTGTTCAGAAAGATGTTACGATATATCCAAATTCCGAAATAGAGGTATGAATTATCCTGTATTTTGTCTGTTTATATTATCTGAAGTGATTGCCAAAACGTTGATCCAGAGACTCTACAAGGGCTGGCAAATGACCTGTTTTAGGGAAATGTGCTGCATTAGGGAAACTATAGTATAATAGTGTGTTCATTACCAATTTGATTAATTGCTAACTGTATAAGCAGTTATATGTACAATAATGTCTTAAAATTACTTTACTTTGGCTGCAATAAATTTTTGCTGAGAAGGCTTTTGGGGTGTTTCGTATGGATTTTATTTTTACTGCAGCATCCCTTCAGCGAAAATAGCAAAATAAATTCCAAGCGAAAATAAATTATTCTACAATATAAGATTTCATAATGTGCTGCACTATCAAATCCCCTCACCCTTGTTGTGTTTACCCCATTGCCTTTTGCCAGTAAGTGTGATAGTTGGTGAGTCAAACTGATTGTGCTATAGTTTTGTCCAGTTATGGTTGTCAGTTTGAAGTAACACATACCCACCATTTATCCTGTTATTCAAGTTGACACAACACTGGTTTATTTTCTACTTGTAGTTGTACATTATCCTTTCGATGACCATCATCCTCCCAAGTTAGAACTTATAAAAACATTTTGTGAAGATGTTGATGAGTGGTTACGCAAAAATGAGGCTAATGTAGCTGTAATTCATTGTAAAGCAGGCAAGGTAGGTCACATCCAAATATTCACACACTCCTGTTCAAAATGTTTGCAGAGTTCCCTGCTGTACAATTTTATCTTTTTCAAAATGCTTTGCAATATCTGAAATTGTTTCTATGCTGTCTGTTTTAGGATGCCCTGTAATATCTGAAATGGTTTCTAGTTATCTATTTGAAGTGTGCCTTATAAGGCCTGGCTATGATTTCTAGTCATCTGTTTCCAAGTGTAACCTATAGTGGCTGGCTATGATTTCTAGTTCCTTGTTTCAAGATGCCCTGTAATATCTGAAATGGTTTCTAATTATCTGTTTCAAGTGTACCCTGCAGTGCTTGCCTGTGATTTCTAGTTACCTGTTCAAGATGCCCTATAATATCTGAATTGGTTTCTAGTTACCTGTTTGAAGTATGCCCTATATTGCCTTGCTATTATTTCTAGTTACCTGTTTCAAGATGCCCTGTAATATCTGAAATGGTTTCTAATTATCTGTTTCAAGTGTGCCCTATAGTGGCTGGCTATGATTTCTAGTTATCTGTTTCAAGTGTACCCATGTAGTGGCTGACTTGTGGTTTCTGATGGATGCCATAGTTGGTCTCTGTTCAGATTTGTGGATTCATTTGTCAGATATATGTCTAGGCCATTCACAGCAGTAAATCAAAATCTTTCTGGAACCATGTTTCTTGCATGTATTGATTGATTTACTGATCTACTTTAAAATTGCCAACAAGCAACATTATTATTTTGGAACATGCCTGGTTATGTTTACATGTGTGTATCATACAATTCCTGGCATAATTCAAGATGCACCAAGACTATTGAATATATAATTCATACTGCAAGCAAATCCCTGGTATAAAATCAGAGGACTACTTTCTTGCAAACTTGGGATGCATATATAATCTTGCAATGTAAACATACAAGTGTTGTGCTCGTAACTGAACCTGTATAATTCTACAACATTCAATCTAACATGCAGTTGATCTGTTCTGTATTTCAGGGTAGGACAGGGGTGATGATTTGTTCCTATTTAATTCATATAGGAAAGTTTCTCAGTGCTCAAAAGGCGTTAGAATATTACGGAAAAACTAGAACCCTAAATGAAAAGGTGAGGTTACGTAAGATTACATTTTCTTGAATGTTAACTGTAGTGTGGATATAGTCATGGATTTGTACGAATCTATTTCAATGTTCACTTCAAGTCATATCATTCATCTTCCACGTTGTGGTTATATATAACCACAGATATTTGGGACACTATTTTAATTGTTTTAACAATGCCTACTTATGAACTAGCATAAACAAAATGGTGCACATGGGTGAAGTACTCAGACAAAAAATTGTATGATAATCACAGCTGCAAATGGTCTATTCTCTTTTCCTTGTCAACATTTTTAATTAAGCTTTGATCCGCATAGTGCAGTTTTAACTTCATTTGTCATTTTCTTACATAGGGAGTTACGATACCAAGTCAAAGGCGTTATGTGGAATACTATGAATTTTTAAGGCTAAAATGTGTAGGTGATTACAAGCAAACAACGTTGTTACTTAAAACAATTCACTTTGATACAGTTCCTATGTTTTCAGGTGGAGTGTGTAGTAAGTAGCCATTCATTATTTATCAATTCTTTGCCTATGAATTTAAATATTTGTGTGAATTTCCTTCTGTCCGGAAGAATCATTAAATTGTGAGATTTTTGCATGGGGTGTAATTCACACCAGGCTTATCAAAATCAAAACAACAAATGATGGATCTCAAGACTTCATTCAAGTTTTATTACACAGACCAGGTGTGTGCAGCTTTCATCATTGGCTGTTAACCAAAACACAACTGTCTTTGCATGTTTTTAATTATGCAAGTTTTGTTTGTTTGCGAAAAATGGAATTGAATTCATTTCCCCCTCTTCATTTTTCATATATGCCCGATCTGTCACTGCACTAAAAAACACAAAACTTGTTTTTAGCTATTAGCTCTTTGAGAACTTTTGGCACCATCTGCAAAATTATTTTGTATTGTCTTCTTCTTCCCACATGAAATGTTGATAAAAAAATTTACAAACCTTTTGATCTGATACTGTCTGTATGGTCCAACATGACTATGAAATTTAAAGACAATTTTACAATTTTCACTGAATTATAGATGGGGAAAAATGTCCAACACTAATTCTTATTGATTGTATTTCAGATCCATATTTTGTCGTTAGTCAACAAAAAGTTAAAATTTATTCTTCACCTTCTTATGAAGTAAGTGTATTTATAATTTCTCGTATTCGTATATATTTTTCTCCTATTCATGACAAATTAATAGCAAATAACACAGAATTCACAGTTGTTAACAGCCGCTACCTGGCATAACCTAACACATAATGTTAATTTCAAAACAATTCATTTGTAATGAAACTTGTAAGTTGCTGTCAAATCAAAGAATGGAATAATTTAATATGGAATATCAAATTTGTTAGTCAGAGATCTTGCATCAAGTCGTGCTCACATGCTGTTTATAGTTTGCCGTCTTGATTTCTGCAAATATTGCCCTAATTCATTTCCAATTTAAATGTCTGATGGATTGAATCATTGGTAATGGCCTTTTTAAAAGTATCATTAAAAATTTACAATTTATTGAGTCTTCCAATTACTCAAAGATTTAGCCGTTATCATCACTCACCTAAAAATACAGAGCTACCAAGTCCAATGTCTGGATGTGATAGATGATTGTTGCATACGACTTATTTACCACTTCCGTGTCACTGAGAATGTTCTAGAACCGTACTGTGTCTGGGTGGAATATTCTATATTTTTTAGGAAATGGTTGAATAGGTAATAGAACACTGTAGGAGGCAATAGAAGGTAATGGAACATTCTAGAAATATGTAGTAAGTTCCAGACTCATTATGTATGCTGATGTAATGGTCTATTTATAGACAGTGGGGGTATATATAGGGGAGTTGTTCAGCACTGAGTTCAGATGGAGATCTCGTTGAATTGTATTGGAGTTTAAGTATCTAGTTATTGGAGTAGTGGAGTTTTACAGCGTTATTGTACTTGATGTTTGCAGAGTATAATAATACCAGTACCAGTTGAAACCTCATCTGTTGGCTTCATGTTTGTATGTTATCATCGCCGCCAGGGAAGTCTTTCTGTTACTGTTGCCATTTTGGTATTTGAACCATCACACCTGTACTATACCAATTACGGTAATATTACGTTGCGTGTGACATCTGGGGGCTCGTCCGGGAACAGTGAAGACATATAGAAGACAACATGGCCAGCGAGATGAAAGATATGACGAAACAAGAGTTGATGGAATGGGCGGATGAACTGGGAATGACTGGAGAAGACAAAAGGAAATTTATTTTGGAGCAACTGAGTTCTCAGCGGGCTGACAGACAAGCGGCGCGGGAAGAGAGGAAAGCAAAAAT